TACCTTGTCTCAGGACAATATATTTCTTTTGAGAATATTTTGTTTTGGCCTCTGCTTTAGTAGGCTTTGTTAGATTCTAGAAAGTTGATTTAAGGTTGCTTCGTCGCTGACAATTTTCTCTCTGGATTTATTTTCCGCAAAACGGCTTTCATAAAGAGTAGATAGAACAATTTAAAAAACATCATTTTCTAGACGCAGAGTTTTTTTGAAATCTGAATAACAACTGCAAGGACTTTAATGTGCTACTACATTCAGTCATATAGGTGCTTGCTATACAGTTCATAAAATCCGGCAAAGGAAAAACCCAACCTATTCCAGCACTTTTCAATCCTTCGATGCGTGGTTGGAGCAACTTATAATTATCTCAATGAAAAAATACCTTTTGATATCTTTACTTGCTGAAAATAAATTTGATCTGAGGCTAGTGTTTGATTAGAAGCTGCTCATCAGACAGCAATATAAAGTCTTAAGGCTTGAATTCTGACCATTTTGTTAGAAAGTTTCCCTTAAATAAACGTTTCACGTCAGCAAGAAAATACAAAGGATTAGAATACTATTCATCTCTCGACCCGACATGACTTCCATTTAGGGTACCTGATTTTGCAAGCAAAAACACAGCATCCTGATCCAGAGTAGTCGGAACGTGACAATTTAGACAAAACACCACCGAAATGCGTTATTTTATTTTAAAATTAAGATTAGAACAAATCTAAGCTTCAGTCTCGAAAGTCAATTAGATCCAATAGATGTCAGTTTATAATACAACAATACATATGTCAGCTGGTTATCATAAATTCTTCTTTTCCTCTCAGTTGTTTCTGTGCATGGTTATTAGTCCAATTTGGGCGCGTAGTTGACCATCTTAGAGAAATCCCTGTTAGATGGGTTGAAGAATTTGAACTGTGAGTTGTAGTCAAACCTGAAAAAAATGGGAAGCTCACGAGAAAAATTTAACGTCAGTCAATCGAGGTCCCCTATGATTCGGTCGCAGTATGAGAGATTAGAAAAATAAAACTATTTATGAATGCGTTAACCTTAGCCAACACAGATGGAAACAATGAACTCAAAGAGACTGAAAAAAAAAACATTTGAAAAAAATCAACTTTCGAGTTTTCAAGAAAAAAAAACATGGCCGTGCAGCTCTTTCACTTTCAAGAACAATTTATAATTGACACCTTTTTAATAAAATGTTCCAAATTTGAGAAAAACTAGATCAATAGATAAAAATTTTACTCCGCTGGGAAATCTCCACTTCCAAAATTAAAGATGAGAGTATTCACTACAATCTTAACTCTTAATCAAGGACAAAATGGCAGTTTTCTTTGAAGTTGAACAGCTGGTTGTTGTTCCGAGAACAAAAAAGGCGAGTAACTTTGTCTCATAGTTTTTTTAAAGTCAAGCATCAAAAAATTAAAGTCAAGTATCAAAGTCAGGTATCAAAAATTTATGGGACTGGGTTCAGTGATATGTCATACTTAAGCCCTTTCAGTCGTGTTTCAAACGAAATTTAAAAATTTTGAAAATTTCACAGTGATGAGAGAAACTATGAAAAGTTTTTGAACTTTGGTCTAAGTTCGAGAAAATAAGGTGAGCGATCAGGTCTGTTTTGTTAACCATACGGAAGCATTTACCGCAAATGATCATCGAAATGGGAAGAGTGATATATCAAATTAAGGCCCTTTCAGCCCGGATTAAAACAATTTTTTAAAATCTTCAGTTATTCCAGTGTCCAGACAAAACCTGTTTTAGCTTTTGAGTTTAGTCTTATTTCGAGCGAGTAAAGCAAGCGAGCATCTTTCTTATAAGAGGATCAGCCATGAATCTTTGGTTTAACTCCAGTAAAAGACTTTTCAAAGGTTTTGCAAAAAAAATGAAAAAAAAAACATTTTTTTTTGTCATTTATCGACTTAAACCGTTGCTGTATTTCCTTTTTTACTACGACTGTCGAATATGCCTAATTGATATCTTTATGAATCATTAAAACCAATTTTAAATTAAATACAGAGGCGAAGCGGAGTTTCGCACCACGCGATACAGGAATAACATAAAATAAAAACATAAAAAGCTGAAAACGAAAGTTTTAGAAAAAAACTAGGTCATATTAACGTTCATGTCTCGATAGAAGTTATTCAAGGCAAACATGCCAGACACTTGAATTTTGAATCATCAACAACGGAACAAAACTTACGAAAAGAAACAAAGCCGACAATCTTTGAGCAGACACCGAAAAATATTTAAAAAACTTTCCACTTCAACCAACAATGGACAACAATTGCACTTGCAATTAAAATGAAAATTGTTTACAACACAAAAAAAATCAGTGATGTGGCAATTAAGCCAAAAATCTTTGAGCTGACACCACTTGAACCGAAAAAAGATTTTATGAAAACTTTTTCAAAAATCTTTCAAGTTCCGCTTGAATCTAGAATGAATAGCACTTGCACTGGCAACTAAAATAAAATTTGCTTTCAGCAAAAAAAAATCAGTGAAATAGCGACAAAGCCGACCATTTTTGAGCAGACACCAACTGAACCGAAAAAAAAATTTTCATATTTTCAAAAATCTTTCAAGTCCACTCTTGGAATTAGAATGAATAACATTTGCACTTGCACCTACAAGGAAAATTGTCTACAGCACAAGCAAAATACGTTGTGGCAATTCAGTCGACAAAACCTGAGCAAACGAAAAACCAACAATTCATTTTGCTCGGAATATTTCTTTTCAATTTCCTTGATACTAAAAAAAACAAGATCCGGCCACGACTCGAACCCCAAACCTTAGGGTACAAAGGCAACTTCTTTACTTCCAGGCCAAGGGGGAAGCAACCTAAAACATGGTAAGAGGAGGTAAGAACAGAAGTGAAAAGAATATATTCAACTGATTTTGTTGAACTAGTTGTTAACCCGAAAAAAAGCGTAAAAAAGTCTATATTCCAGTTTGGTAACGCTTGCTTTTCGCAAACGTAAAAAATATAAAAAACTTTTTACGCATATAGATGATTGTGGTCGGAACTTTCTGAGCTACTTGCATAGCAACCGGTTATTCCCCTCATAGATAGTCTTCCCCTTGTAGATGAACGGTTTTAAATTTATTATTTTCAAGGTTCTTCCATGCAAAATCACTCACTTCAAGTCTTAACATTCGATATTTTATTAGGGCCATATATCCTTCATAACCAAAATAATATATTCAAGCTATTTTTGAATTCTTGCTGTTTCATATTGGCTTCAATATGATCATCAGAAAATAAACCGATGTAGCATCACTTGACACCGACAAGCCTTTCGCTACGACACCAATACCTTCAACGAAACAAATTACTCCAAATTGAAAATGGTGAGTAAAACTTTGTATTCCGATATTTCAGTTTTTTTCACGCAAAATCAAGTACCAAAAAATATCGGATTGGTTGAGTGCTATATCAATTTAAAGCCCTTTCAGTCGTGATTCAAACAAAATTTAAAAAAATTGAAAACATTTTGACAGTGATGAGAAAAACTTGCATAGTTTTTGATTTTTGGTCTGGTTTCGAGCGATAAAGGTGAGCGAGCAGGTTTGCTTTGTTAATCATACGGAAACATTTACCGCAATTAATCATCGTAATGGGTAGGGTGATATGTCATATTACTGCACTTTCAGCCCTGAATCAAACTTTTTAAAACTTTCAAAAGTTATCCCAGTGTCGAGAAAAACCGGCTTCAATTTTTCGTCTAATTTCGAGCGAGTAAAGCAAGCGCGCAGGCTTATTATAGAAGGATAAACCATGAAATTTAAGTTTAACTCCAGTAAAACTACTTTGAAGGTTTTGCAAAAAAAATAAAAAAAAACTTTTTAGGTATTCTTATGATTGTGGTAGGTACTTTCTGTGCTAATTGTACAGCAACCGGTTATTCCCCTCGTATACTAATGGTTTTTACATTTGTTTTTCTTGTGGCTTTTTCAAGCAAAACCACTCATTTCAAGAATATTTTAACATTCGGTATGCTATTAGGGCCATCTATCCTCCATAACCAAAATAATCTTTTCGAATCAGTTTTAAATGTTTGCTGTTCCATATTAGCTAAAATACGATCATCAGAAAATAAACCGATGCAGCATCAGTTGACACCACCAAGCCTTTCGCTATAACACCGATACCTTCGCAGGCATACCAGTAACATTATGGCTTGCTTGTGTACGGTGTGGTACTAGTTTTTGAGTTTTGAATCAAGTTCTAATGTATCAGCGGAAAACATTCCGAATGCTATTTTTCAAAAAAAAATTCGACACTATAACCAAAACTTTTTTATGATAATTAAATTTTGACTGTTCATGGACTATAAATGATCTATTGAAGTTTTGTCTGAGATCTTTAAATACTAGACACCCGAATGTTTATCTTCAGACAATACTTACATTTACCGAAATTTAATTGCTTCATTTGTTTAATTCTTTGGTAATAATGTATTTGTATGTCTGAAGAAATAAATTCTTTTCATGTGTCGAATCATTTCTCTACCAAGCAAGTTTTAGCGTTTCAAAGAAGAAGTAAAACAATATTTAGCTCACCTTTTAGCGGCTCTTTCGCGCTTCTTCTGGAAGTGGACGTCTGGGTTTCTGAGGCTGTGTCGGAGAAGGGCAGCAGCTGCAATACAACAAGCAGACCCTACCACTGCGGTCATCATCACCAAGGAGACATCTTTTTTTGCATGTCCCGCCCACACCCGCGGGTTGAAGATCCATTGCCTGTTGCCTCTTCGAAGGATACCGTCTTTTGAAACCATGCTTAATCTAGAAATATATCGATTGCGATCATTAGGCAATGATTTGCGAGTGTTGAACGTGTCCTCTCCTATTCATCTCGTTCTTTTATCCTAGATGTTTCCTAGACTGAGGTCACAACTCATAGGTACCAGATATTTCAGCCGGTATTCCAATTCAGACTTTCTGGTATTTTTGAATAGACCATTGCTCTGCTTACGGTGGAAAATTGTCTTTTTGGTCCTCAGGTTGAACGAAGCTAAGAGGAAAACAATTCAATTGAGGAATGTACAAAATTGTGAAATGTATTGTGAGCAGCAACTTAATCTATTCTTATATACACATGCAATGATTTCCGAATACGATGAGCCAAATTTTTATACATAGAAAGCTGAATTAATTCATGAAATTAGCTTGAGTCTCAATAAGAAACTATTTAACATGATAGAAATTATTTAACATGATAGAAAATGTTTGTGGCGTGATAGAAAAACGCTTGTTGCAGGATAGAAAAACGCTTGTGGCATATTGATATGGTTTGAGCCAACATCTTTGAATTGATATGATCAATAGATAACTGAAACATTGTCGTTTGCTGCCTCTTAAACATTAACTTCAAACTGCATTTCGATATTCTTTCGTATCTCATCCTTGGTCGGTTTGAACACCAGTATGAGAATGCCCAAAATGAAGTTCATTCCCATGCAGGCCAGACTGGTCCAGGCACCGTACGCTGCTGGACCGACATCTCTGGGTGCGTTCCGGGGCAGTCCTTGGTGATTTCTAGCGTGGTGTGTCAGTCTCCATTTCACAACCCACTCCATAACTGAGCATCCCACAGCATACATGACAACTAAACAAGCGCCAATAATTGATCAGTTGGGGCAAGATGACAACAGGCGGCAACTTTTAGAAACAGTCGCAAAATCTCTTTTTCAAAATTGAGACTAAAATGCTTCAAATAGTTCATTTCGAAACTGAGTCATCATGTTCCCAAAACCGTTATGCTTGAATATTATGGCTGTAACATCAAGACCATTTTGCAATATGGAATATTGGTGTATGGTTGCACTTCCAACACAAACCTGTTACCCCTTTTTATGATCCAAAAGAAAACTATTCGATTGATTTTTTTCAAGAAAATATGAAAGCTTTCGAGACAAGTTTTTGAAGATGAAAAATTTTTAACAGTCCACAAGCTGCGTGAGATTTTTGTATTTGATATACCAATGTATATGATCAGAATGTCAACTATTATTATTCCCAAACTTCAATTAATAAAACGGGCAGTGCTTTGCAAGCCAGATAGGTTCGTTAACTGTACCCTCGCTGTTTCGGGTGCTTCAAAATAAATTCTTTCTTCTTGTTCATTTCATTCACAGTCAAGAGTATAGTCTAACGAGATTGCTTTTCTGATTACTTCATTCTGCTAGATCTTAAATGATAAACTTTGTAAGCTGTTCTGTCGATAATTTTTCTTTTAAAATATACCAAGGCTACATTATCAAGTATAGCAAAAAGTGATCCAGCAATTAAATTTCAGGTATATTAAATCTCCCGGGTATTACTATGATAGAGTGGTCCGTTGAAAATAAACAGATCCCTTGATAATTAGAAACCTGGAATTCTCAAATCACTTAGCAATTACGAGTTCGCCATTCAGGAAGATGTTGCAGTATATTTTCGAACAAATTTTATGTTTCGTTATTTCGTAAAAATTCAAACAAAATCGTCGCCAAAATTGAGTTCTGATGCCAAATAAGTTAACCTCAACTGGTTGTTTGATAAATCGTAAAATAAGTTGAAGCGAGCATATTTATTGAAATAATAATAAATATACTATATCATACAATATAAATAAATTAGTAATTACAATTCTGACTCGACATATTTTGCGAGACTTTTGAAATGAAAAATTTATACACAAATTAGTTTATTATTACACGCGAAACGCATTCCGGACCTCTCTATCATAGTTGCTTTTTCGATGGACCACTCTATCATAGTAGTACCTCCGACTAATATATCACCGGTCCGCCAAAAACAAATTTCTTCGAAATATATTTTAAGATTTCTGGGTTTCGTATCTTCCATTACCATTACAAGCTATGCGCTCTGGGCAACTATTAATATCATTCAAATTTAACAATTACAATCGTCATACCAGGAATTTAATGTTTCCGTGAACAAACGGTGTATTAAGAAACTGATAAAAAAAGTGAATTTCGAAAAGTATGAGCTTACAAGTGATTGCCGCCAGAGTGACAGGCACTCCAGGATAGTAGTCGACCTTTGCAATACAGAGAGCAATCCCCAGTACGAACACGAACAAGATGATATTGAAGAACATTCCGAAGATGAAGAAGGAAGCGGCTGCTTTTGTTGGTGCATGCACAAGTTCTGCTTCCTCCTCCCAGCGCTCATCCCCTGAAGTCAGAGTTAAGCGAGATATTTAACCACAGAGGCGAAGCTGCGTTTCACAAACAATAGCGAGAACAAGACAAAAATCAGTTCTCTAAAGTGTAATAAGAAAAGTAGAATTAAGCCTCGAATTATAAAATTGGCAAGGTCTCGGATTCGATCTGCGACCTATAGACTATGAGCCTCGCGCACTAAACACTCCGCCACGGACGCTTAATTAATTACAAGCATTAGCCTCAAATAAAGCAGAGAACAGATGCTATGAAATTTCCAATGCTAGCGATCGTGATTATAGCAAAAGTGCCACCAAATAATGAACACTTTGCCACCAAACAATGAACTTTTATTTGCGCGTTAGGTTAGACAAAAAAAGGTTCGCACTAAAACAATAACGCTCGCAAGCTCGTTCGTGTAAATATCAGTGCAAACTAGCAGACAGGAAAAGCTTCAACAAATCACAATAAAACCTTCAAAATGTTGTCTCGAGTCATGTTCTCATTGCGGAAAACACGCGCAGAAACACAATCGACGATAATTAATTTAAAAAATTAACAAGCGTCAACTCAGCCGACGAAACTTAAACAATTTCCCGTAGAACCCAAAATATTATTGTTGTCATGAACTATAAATTTTATTTCTAAGAATTTTAGCATTTTGTATTATCCACAATGAAGCATAAAACCCCAAATTAGGTCACTAAGCCGATTAAATATAAGCCGAAATGATTTAAGCCGAACATATTTTTAAAGCTAAAAAAAACAACAGCAAAATATATGATGTCAAAGGCTAGTAAAAAAAATTGCAGGAGTAATTCAAAAAGCTAAAAGCAACTACATTGAAAACTGCGTACAAAAAATCAATTCTATATGTGGCAACTAATCCTACAAAAAATAGGTCGATATATTTTAGGAAAGAAATATTTCCAACTTAAGAAAGTATGAAGTTTATGATCAAATTCGAACCCACGACCTTGGGTAATCTTCACCCAGGCGTAACTTCTCCTCATGGCAAGTGCGGGACACAAATGAAAAACTATTCCTTATGTCAAAACAATCAACGCGTTTTGCCATTCCTTAAAAAAAGTCAGACTAACAATATCTCCGGCATTGGCTGCTTTCTTCTTCACCAGCACCTGTGTTGTGGAAATCCGTGCATGCTTTCCAGAGGCCATACCTAGGCGTTCCATTTTCGTTAGGGTACGTCACCCAGTTGGGAACGAAATGAAGCACTACCGTGCCGGCGAAAGCGAGGGCCGATAAAGCTGCAACCATGAAATAGAACACTTGGAGACGCTGCTGCATTCTGATAAATTATTTGAAAATAGCTTCAACAACTTTAATCTAAAATACGAAAACAGTAAAGTCAAGATACGGTGAGAAGTATTTCTCGATCGCAAGATTCGAGAAAATATAACCGAGCTTTGTGAATAACACCGAAGCGTCTGCTTCTCAAAACTTGTAAGTTGTGATTCAACATTTTACAAAGCTTACAAAGTCGAGCGAAGTTTCGCACCAGCTGCGCTGCAAGATCAGAATACTAAACAACAAACAAAAATGACAAAAATGGTGCCACGTCAAAAGGATTTGTAAACTTCTAACCCAGCGGCTATCTTAGCCTAAAATCCTAATCAACACAGTTCGGCTTCGGATCATCTCGAAAGGTAATAGATTCAACCAATATGTTTCAGCGTCTTTATCAGAATTATTTCTCTTAACAACAACCATACAGGAATTTATGTAGCATGACGACATTATCAGCACTCCTGTCTTTGGTGTAGGCATGGTATGTCCGACTGATGCATCTGTAACCTATTCGCTCGAGAACTAAAAGTGAGTGCCTTTTCTTACATACTGACAGAAGAGTAATCGGGTGGTAGCTGCCTGGATGCAGCGCGTCTTTGCCATGTTTTAAAGTAGGGATTACGTGTCCGTGCACTAGAGCGGGATCTTTTTGCTGAATCAACCGTTTGATTTGCTGCGCTACGCGGGCGAGTTGTCTAATGCTTGAATATCCTCTGCTGTGGTGCCCTCTGGTCCAGCTCCCCTTTCCTTTCTTAGCTGTGCCTTGTTTCTAGCGACTGTTTACAGTGATAGCAGGTATAGACAAAGTGTCTGCTGAGAAGTTCAGGCAGTGTCCATCCTTGTTGAAGCAATCTCTGTAGAAATTGTTCCTCTGCTTGGTACGGAATTTTGGTGTCAAATTTACGTGGCTTCATCATGAAGGCTTCAGAGCAAGGTACTATTATGATAGAGTGGTCCCTCGAAAAAGCAACTATGATATACAGGTCCCGCATGATTTTCGCATGCTACAATTTTAAAACTAAATTGTGTATAGTCAAGTCAAGTCAAGTTTTTTATGACCATTAGGCAGTGCCTATTGTGGTCATTTCAAATGTTTTTCCCATCTCCGTTCGAATTCGTACATGTCAATTCCAATCGCTTTCCAATGTTTGTCCAGTTTCTACTTGAATTCGTCGATAAAAGTTAATTTCAAAAATCGTGCGGAATATAATGATTCGGGAACTTTCTTTTCAAAAAAAGTGCACTCACTGGTGTTTATATCAAGAAATCTCCACGCTTCAACAAATTTTACGGTTAAAAAAGCATATCTGGTTTAACTTATTTGTCATCAAAAATCAATTTTGACGTTTTTTTTTGCATTTTCCACTGTAACAGTCGCCTACTTCGGTCACATATGAGGTTAAAGAAAAATAGGCCCTATAACCATTGGCTCAAGAGTCAGGGACACTATCTCTTGTGTTTTTCTACCTCGAACGGTCGGAGCCAATTCGGTTCACTTGCGACATGAGACTAAAAACCCGTTACAGCTTAAAAGCCACTACCAAAATATCCCCCCACTCTAGAAAATGAGAAGGTCCCAATACTCAGGTCTCAAAATACCCAAAATACGCGAACGCCGTTAAAAACAGGGTCGGAACAATCCTTACGGTTACTTTTTGTTAGACAGTGGAACTTTGATCCATTTCAGATGGATCAACCTAAAACTCTCCTTACCTCAACATAACAATTATAAAACACACTCAAGAAAATTAAATTGAGTACTCACATACTAGCACACTCGAGAATTAGAGGTAAATAAATTAGTTAGCAACTTGAGAATAATTGGGGAATTCAGTTTGGTTCAATAAGTTCTAATCGAACAACTTTTATCTCAAGAATGGAGTTTTGGTTCTGGACCATTGGGACACCTCGGTTGTCCACCTTTCCACCGAAGGTTCACTCTGCTCCAACTGAATTTCGAACTTCTTTGTTTTCTGTATCAAGATAGGACAGCTCTACTCTCGTAGTATTTAGATGTCGGAAATTGCGAAAAGCAATTTCTAACTGTTTAAATTGACCACTTTCCCGCGATTGTTAATCGGTTGTTCTGATCTTGTCTTTTTGAGATTTTCAGTTTTCGCGAGAAAGTTGAGCATGACAGGCTCAATTCGAGTTTTTGAAAAACTAAATTTCATCCCAAAATTACGTAGTTCGTATTTCTCAAGGTCAAACTTCCAAATATGACCGACTGGCACATACTCCCCGGACACAAGATCGATGTCCCCATCGCGTGTTGCCGTCTGCCAGTGATTCCCCAGAACTCTGAGTGTAGCTCAAGATACAGTGCCAGTAGTCATTTACAGAGGTTTGCAGCAGACTTAAGTTTATCTACACCCCAAAATTCACAACCATATAAAATTGTCACACTGTCGCTGAACAGCAATCAAAATTTTCATAAACCTGCTCCTTAAATATCCCCTTTTGACACTTACGATTAAAATTTCTTTTGTCCTATCTAATCAGGAAATTGTCATATATAATAATTATAGCATATTAGTAACAATACTTTGTTTAGTTAAAATTTCTTTTTTGTGACCTCGGATTTCATCCGAGTTCACACTCGAGCCCCTTCCTTTCCCTCTCAAGACTCAAGAAACCCACATTGAGCTCCCTGCTCACTTCGTATTCCTAGCTTTCAATTGTTCAAAGGATCGCATCCACTCCTTTTGCTCCTGCAACCTCATTGCCTGATTTGGTAAACCTTTCACTTTCAATTCCCTGTTCAAGCAAAAGGAATTGTGCAGGCTCAAGCTCACGTTCTTCGGCAAATCCTCCTCCAGTATCGATTCCCTTGCTTTGGTATTATCTCTAGACACCCTACCGACTCTTTTCAAACCTGTCGTTATCTCATTTTGATGGGTCAGCAGAGGTCTCTTGAAGGCTTCCGGTCCTATTTCTGCCAGGAACTGTCGATATTCCCTTTGATATTTCTTCATGTGACTTTTCGTCGCCATGTACAACCAAGATGTCAACGTCGCTCGAAACCACGGAAATAACCTTATGCGACTCCATACATGCCTGACTTCCATTGGTATGGCGAATACCTTGCATACAGTCTCAAACAACTCAAGTCTCCTGCTGTAATCTATAACGTAGATCGATTCCGCCGTTGGTGTCTTCGATTCACTATATTTCGTTACATTTTCCTCGATCCATCGTAAAGCCAACATCGTACTTACTACCAAGATGGTCACCTTCTGCTGATGATCGGGTAACCCGATTGACCGAATTTCTTCTACATCCCACACTAAACAAAGGTTTGAATGCTCCGGGTACCACACTGTCTGTGCCAAGCATTGGCATGGGCATCCCCATGTGTAATCTCTATGCTTCGGAGATTGCGTTCTCCCGAGGCTTCCAGCAGAGGCCCTAGTTCCATCGTTTTCTCGTACGTCATATCATTTTCCTCCTGCGATGGGACATTATTCATCGTCTTCCCGATGGCATTCTGTCTCTCAAAATCACTCGTGTTTTCGTCTCCCAAACTCAAGAGTTCTTCTTGTCAGATCTCACACAAGTCACCTCTTTGTGTCCTTGGCACCGTTCCCAGGATCTTCCTCAACAGCCTATACGAATGATGCGACAATCGAGCCAGTCGTACGCACTTGGGTACCGAGAAGGCCTTATCCACTAGTATCCTTTGGCTAGATACCTCCACCATTACCATGTGCAATGGATAATGGCTCCCACATAGGTTTGCAATTACTGATCCCACTAAGGACTTTGCATTTACAGGCAGGCCATAAGCTTCGCTCACGGGAAATCCCATCTCCGCCTCTAGACCAATCTTCCACCCTCTGATATGCTTCTGGGTAGTTTGCAACGCCCCCAAACGACTCCACGCTTAACACAGTCACCAAATGGTGTTCAGACTCCAGCATCTCCAGTGATTGCAGACTACACATTCCTGAGAAGAACCCCAGCGCCGTTGCTATATTCACTGTAGTGTTCGTATAGCACTCAGCCATTATCTGCACCTCGCTCTTCTCTCTTTCTGTTATGTCACCAAACCAAGCGACTAGGTCTTCACTCTGGAAAGATTGTATTCTGACACATGATCGTCCATCACAGATGTGCCCTCCGCCTCCGCACGTCAGGTCAAGACAGCTGCCAGGTTCCAATTTCTTTACTGATCCCAGCTTACTCGTTGCTTCGCCCGACTCTTTACTCTAAGGTAGGATCAATTTGTGTATTACGTCCAAAGTTCCCAGGTCCTCATCTTTTGTTGGTGCTAGCTTCACTCGTTCCGTGACTTCTTCAATCAAGCTCGCATGGGGATGTGGAAACCAGGAGGGTCTCAACGATTTCCAAACCGTTCCTAAATTCGTAGTCATCATGCCATTTTCATTCCCCATCCTCAATTCCACTCTTTTGCTCGAGCGCGGCACGCCTATCACCTTGGGTGTCGCCTCAAGTAGCAGGCCTAGACTCGGTTTCTCCCTCCATTGAATCGATTATAATTATCTTCTCCGTCCAAAACTTCAACAGCTCCGTCACCTCGTGATTCCTGTGAGCGCTCCCGGCCTCTGAATTCAAGAAAGGGTTGTATGCTATTCCCATCACTCCAGACACGTATGGATATTCTCCCTTTTTATTGGGTCTCGCGTAATTCTCAGCCAAGGCCAAGTTGCGATGCATATCATACCCCTCTTCAAATTTATTGTTGTGGAATCTTCGTATTTCATCAAGTTTCCCATGGTTCTCTAGGGATTGCTTCGAGTCATCCTCCTTCTCGATTGCCGTACTCTGGTACACGTTCAGTATGACGGTGGAGACTCTTCTCTCCATGGTCTTGCTCCCCATAGCCTTCTGATGACACGCTTGGACGGTACTATTAGTCATCACGGACATTATCCACCTCAAGAAACAAGTGGCATCCTTTCTTCTCGCAAGACTCAAACCGGAATTATCTCTCGCGACATGTTGTAACAGCATCTGATAGACCTCTAGGCTTTTATTGCCCAATTTCAATTTGTCACGTGAAGTCAATACCTCCA